CGCAACATCATCGGCATACGAGCGAATAACGGAAAAGACCTTCAGTGAAGCTCGTTACAAAAAGGAAAAAATTAAAGACTTAAGTACCCTTCATTATAACAAAAAATGTAAAAAATTACCGAGACTTAACGTGGGTGATGACGTTGTCCTCCAGGACCCAAGATCCAAGCGATGGGAGTCGAGAGGGAGGATCTCCAGTGTTCGAGGAAGCGGGAGGTCGTTCGTCATTAGAACGGATCGAGGAGACCTCGTGAGGAATCGAAGATTCATACGGAAGAATGCCGAACATTAATTTTGATGACTTTGCTCTTTCACTAGTATTAATGTTTATTTATTTCATTTGTTTATGTTTTGATTATAATTGAATAGGTATGCGCAAACGTCATGGGAGGGGAGATGTGTGGTCATGACTTATAAGATACTTCTTGAGATCTTATAAGTCAACCGGATCATCCAAATCCCCTCTCCTAAGTTCTTTGTATTTGTGTATATAAACATTAATAAAGTAGTCTTCGTCAAGACCTTACAGGGGGTCTTGTGTGATGATGGCTCGGATAATTGGATCTTTAGAGTCCCTCAGGCTAGCGATGCGTTTATTTTGGAAAAGTTTCCTGCGCACCTCTAGTTCCATGAGGGCCAGACCACCTGCCGACGTTGGGGCGTAATAGAACTCCCTGGGAGTGTCCCTGGCGAGTTTCATCCAGTCCTTGACGGCCAGCCTCACCACTTGGTCCGCTTGTCGGACCTGGGCCTGTGAGACCTTGCCGTATGTTAGGCTGTAGATGAGCCTAGGGATAAGGTGATCCCTCAAGGCTATGTATCTTTGGAAGACTGTTAGGCCAATGCCGTTCAGTCTTCCAAGTCCATCCTGGATCCCTTCCAGTAGTGGGACTGGCGCCATACCCTTGGGGGTAAACACCACTCCCAGGTATTTGTAGGCGTCGGATACGTTCATGGGGGTTAGCTTCTCCCCCATCACGGATAATTCCTCGCTGGCGTCGACGAAATGGGCTTTACCCGCTGTCCTTATTGCCGTGAACGCGCATTTTTGTGGGTTGGCACGAAGTCCCGCCTTTTCGCATTGTGCGAGGAAGGCGTTAACCAACTTCTGCAGCCCTTTTATGTCTCTGCTGACGAGCACAGCGTCGTCAGCAAAGAGTAGGGCTTCCACATGTGTTGCGCCAATACGCACTGGATTTCGGTCGCCTATCGGCGTGGTGTTGTACGTTACATCCAACACCCAGTCCAGTACGAAATTGAACAGATGGCCGGACAACGGGTCTCCCTGGAGGACCCCTGACTTGACGATCGCGTCTTGATCCCCAATCCTTGTCCTGGCGTTTTGGTATAGGTTGCGTATATAATTAATTATGAGCGGGGGTATTCCCACTCTCCTAGCTGCCAGAAGCATTGACTCGTGTGAAACCGAGTCGAAAGCTTTGGCTAGGTCGATGAATGCGAACGCTAGCGGAAAACTGCGCTGTCCGCCTATGGCTGTTCCAATAAGGTTCCTGAGAGCCAAATTGTTCTCGGAACAGCCGTTCATCTCCCTAAAGCCTTTCTGGCAGCTGCTAATCCTCGCCTTTTTAATCCTGTTAGCCAGGACTTTGTGGAGGACCCTTGTTATGTGGGGTAGAACCGTTATCGGTCTGAAGTCCCCTGCTAACTGGGGGTCCTCATTCTTGGGGATCAGTGTAGTTCTTCCTGTAGTTAGTTCCTGCGGCAGTTTACCGTCGAATAGGGCTCGATTAAAATATTGTACTAGCTCCTCCATGGGTAAATCACGAATCTCAGCCCCCCTGATTCCCATTGGGTCTCTAGAAGCGGCCATGCTAGGCATGGCCTCACTAATTTCCTCCGCTGAGATGGGGGCCTCCATGGAGTGGTCCACCTTATTGACCAGATTAGGGGTTCTGGCATCCTTCACGGATGCCGTCTCGAACTTTTGTACCCAGTCATTAATGACTTGCCGGGGTACATTCTGGTTCTTCCCCACCTGGCTGGCCTTACCGTCTAATATTAAACCTATTGTCCCCGGAAAGTCACTCCCTAGGGCTTGTTGGATGCGCTTATTTGAAGCCTTGTAGGGCTTTTTAGTCCCATTATTTCTTTCGCTATATCCAGAGACGGAGTCATCTATTATTAATTTTATTAGGTCATTAAATTCGACCTCCTCTTCATTGATTCTTTTCAGTAATCTTGCCTTGGCTGTTTCTTCTAGCTTGTAAGAATAATGCTTGTTTAAAAGCGTCCTGCTAGATTCATTTAGCTCACTAGCTGGTGGAGCGTTTTTGTTCTTTGCGAAAAGGCTGTGGTTCAGCCAGGTGTAAAACGCCCTGGCTGACATTCCTGCACCTTTCTCCTCATTCTCTAGCATGAAATTGAGGACATCTATTTTCCTTTCGCTACTAATTCTTCGATTGTCTCTGAGAAGCAATTTTTCATGTTTCAGGGAGTGACTCACCAGGGCCTTACGGTGCGCTTCTGCTGCGGCCGTTTTATGGTTGTCTTGCGTGTCTTCCCCCTCTTTATTGCTAGCCTTTTGTGTTACGATTGGGAGGTGGCTCCTAAGCCATTCGACTATCCCTTCAATTTTGGTGTTACCGGCGCACTCGGCCACTTTCCTCCTTTGCTGACAGACGTCAATTTGTGGAGGGCTTAGTTCCAGGGCCTGCGCGTAGGACCTCCGCTCGTCAGGGTTTTCCTGGGTTGCTGAGGTCTCTGGGCTCTTAACGAGTCGATGGAGTCTTTGATTCTGTTTACCAGGGTTAAGGCCATTTCCTTAGTCCTGGCTTGGACCGTTGCTACGGCCTCTCCTCCCTTCTCTCCTTCCCGCTGCGCTAGGGCTGTTGGGTTTTTGGGGGTTTCCTCCCTTGGTGGAATATTTGATTTACTGTTCCCGCCATTCCCACGGGTCTCCCCTGGGGTCCCTATGGGTTCTC